CGGTCAGTAATCCACACCGTGCATGGCACTCAACGGGACGTAGAGCGCTGCACGGCCTGAGGAGCGCCGGGGCTTCTGGCCTGTGCCTGGGAAGCCCAGCGGAATTCAAGGCCGTGATTGCGGTGACCCTCAGGGAGCGGCTCTGTTGGGCAGCCTCTCGGAGGCCTCACTAGAGCAGGCACAGCTGCTGCGCGTTTGTTCCAGCTACCACCCTTCCCAAAATTCGTTATGTAGATCTATGCTCGAGTATTGGTGGGTGGGAGGGGGACACAAGTTCTGAATATATCAAACCTTTTGTGATGCTTCTTGAGACAGTACGTCGTACTTCTCCTTAAATGGGATGTTCTTCTCCTCTGGAGGAGCGGAGTCTTCTCCGCTGCATTCAGCATCGCTTTTCCGATAGAGAGGGTAATGCTGGGAGACATCCAAAGCAAGGATGAGCCGTTAGTGATCCAGCCTTTCTGGAACTAACAGACACACTAAAAACATGTCACCGCCCTGCCTCACCCTGAACACACCTGTAAAAGGATGGGTTCCGAAGCTGGAAGCTTTTCTGCATCCCTGCACCTTTGGTTGGAAGGATCGGGTTTCTGTGAACAAAAGCAACCCAGACCTATGTCTTCACCTCTGAGTGCCACAGGGCTGGGGAAGGGGATTTAACGCTCGCTAGGTTTTGGGTTGGTTTGGGGTTCTTTTTTGCAAAAAGCGGTATGGGCTCAGAGCACCGCGTTTCAGTACCGTCCGCTGGATAAACTGTTCAGAGCCTCTGCTGCGGATGGAAGGGGAAAGGCTCTTAACTCCCCTTTCTGTGTCTGCTGCAGGCATGGTCACCCTCTCTGAAGGGAGAAGGCGACGGCAGCATCCCCCTGCACAAGGGCAGAAGAGATGCAGGGCAGCCCGAGGGCGGGAGCAGTTAGAGCCTAGCAGAGTTCTTCCCCTGGGAGCTGGTTTCCTGATTGCCAAGCCAGTCGGCCTACTGTGCGCCCAGTCAGCCTATGGAAAAGCCAAGGGGGATGAAATGCAAGAAGCAGTTGGATTTGATGAAAACCCACTGCAGTTAAAACATTACTCGGCTGCCAAGGCAGGACTCCAGGAGAAGCAGAAAAGTGAAAGAACAGGCTGGCTTGAAGGGTGTAAGCAGATATGCATAAATATAAATGCAGAGATTATTTTATTACGTGTCTTAAGTCAAAGGGAGGGTTACAGAACTTCTCCTGCCATTCCTTGGAACAGAGGGAACGACACCCTCTGCTTGCTGGCAGAGCTGACAAGGAAGTTAACGCCGTTAGGGAGTTCAGTAAAAACGGTAACAGGCCAATGGGGAGAAGGCAGATTTGCTAACAAATTGCAGTGTGAACTGAAAGGGAGGCGGGTTTTCCAGCAGAACCTCAGTTACATCCCGACTGTTGCGGCAGTGTCGGCATCCCCACTGCAGCAGCCGCCTTGCTGGCTACAGTCGGATCTTCAATAAACTCTTACCTGCTGGGAGCAGTTCAGTCTGCGAGAAAGCGCCGCAAGCTTTGCCTCCGAGCTGCGGCAGAGAGCGCAGCTGTCGCCCTCCATGGCTATGCTGTTCACTACGACAAAGCTGGAAAATACCAGGGAGCGGGCGAGGGGAAGGGAAGCGGGGAGGAGAGGAAAACATTTGCTGTTCATGCACGTGTGGGGGATAAAGTTTATTTTACGAAAGGCGAGCGTTCCCGAGTTGGACACGGCTCAAGCCAACAGCAGCGCAGCTTCCGGAACTGCGTGCTGTAACTCCTCTCCCAGGGATCCGCGCTACAGCTGCTTCTCTACGCGGCCGGCTGCTTTACAGGCAGGCGACAGTCGGGCCGCGCAGCGTACGTGACGCTTCAGGTTCACCCTGTCCCCTTTTTAAGCAGAACGGCGCCGCGTTCGGCTGGCTACCCTGAGCGAGCTGCCTTCCGCGCTTCGCCCTCTCACGCGGAGCACGGCGTTTCGTTCCTAACGGAGAGTTCCCTGTAGGTTGCCAATCCATTCTGACCTTCTGCCACGAGAGTCGCACGCGTTCAGTCGCTCAGGCAGGACTCAAACAGTCCCAGTTCAACAAAGCATGTTTTGCAGACATAAACAAGCTGAGTGCCTCCACTTACGAGATACTGGTCAAAAAGCAAAAGAGAATTTAATTCTCTTCTATCATATTCAGCTGCTTTTATACCAGAGTTCTGCTCTAAACTAGTTTATCCGGGAACGTTTCTTCAATAAGGCAGCTCATTTCAGGTAACGAATATGATACCCGACACACAGTCTGCAACTGCATGCAAGAATTCCGCTGCGCCCTTTCACAGGGGACATGGATCCTCCTCGGTAACTACTCCTGAAAGCAGCTGAAATGCCTGTCCAGAGGATCCCACATCTGCCTGATAAACAAGAGCATTGTACCGGGCTTTCACGAAGCTGATCCATCTCCCTGAACATGGCACACCGTCTCTAGAGCTGCCCAGAGTGTTTGTAATGTTGGTGTAACCGAGGGAACCGGTGTAAACCTGTAGGTTTGGAACGCTCACATTCTCACCAGTCATTATAACCCCACGACTTAACCATAACAGAGGGCCACGGGGCAAACCGCTGCAGCCACAGACGCACAACGCGGAGAACAGGCTCTGTAACGAGGTCTCCTCTAAGCCAGAACCAGCTTGTGCCTTATTACCCCACCCTGTGGAAAAACTGCGGACAAGCAACTGCTGTGTTCCCCAATTCCTCAAACAAGCCTCAAAGTTCTGTAGACTGAAGAAGTTATGAAACTGAGTGCAACTCTGAACTTGTGGAGGCACAGAGGGGGTTGGTACCGAATCCTACGCTGCTGTTATGTTTACAGCCATGGGTCATTACCGGCTGCAAAGAAGTAAGAAGGCAAACCAGAGAATTTGATTCTGACTCCACAGTACTTTTCCATTTCAAAGGAAATGGTTAGAATTCACCTAGCTCCAAGCAGGGCTTCCCCTCCTATCAAAGTGCAGGTCTGTAGGAAGTGTTTGATGTTTGACATACCCCAAGCTAGATACAAAGTTTAAAAAAAACAAAATTAAACGGGCTCCCAGATTAAGCATTCCCACGCTATTTCATTAGAAATTCCACTTCCAGCTCTCAGTTTGCATCACCGGGGTTGGCTACTTCAGTAATGGCTACTCTAAACACCGGGAGAAAAAAAAAATAGGCGTACTCACTTTATTCCTTTTCGAGTTATCAGCTTTCCCGACGTGAAGTTGAAAGCCTTTTCGAATCGATCCACCTTGTAAGCCGTCATCCTGTGTGACCGAGCCAAAACACAACCGAGGTGAGAAACAGGCGCTGTAGATCACCTGACACAGTTGCTTCACAGACCGCTCGCGCAGCCTGCCGCTCCCTTGCCGGGCGCGTGTATGCGTCCGGCAAACTCGGGGTGGGGGGATGCCCCAACGCTCTGCTCCGCGCCGGTCCCGCCAGCATAAGCGCTGACGGCCTGTAGCAGTCCAGCACAGCGAGGGCACTTCTACGCTGGGACAAGCGGGAAGGGAACGCGCTCACACCAGAGGCCCTGCACAGGGAAAAGCGGCTTCGAGACGTCTCCGCCAGCGCAGAAAGACCAGCTCCGAACAACTTCGCGTGCGCTCGGGGAAGCACGGAAGCAGCCTGAAAACTTTTAAAACACATTCTGCGCGCAGATGGGTACCTCGTGAGATCTTGCTCTACGTTACAACCCCTTCTAATCTGGTCACAACCAAAAGCTTTCTGTTTCTGACACACAAGAGGCCGCTCAGACACCAACCCACTTTTCGTACGCGTGCCGACACTGCCACCTTGGCACTTGCGTACTTTCACCGACAAGACTTACTCGTAGTGGAATCCAATGTCATGATTCCCAACGACGACCACAAGCTCAGTAGAAGCTGGATACTTAAACATCTTCCGAAATCTCCTGACGTCATCTGCCCACGCCTGTGTGAAAAAAAAAAAAATGGAGAAATGAATGCTGTCCAACCGTGCCAAAGAGGACCGCTACGGCACAAGACAGAAGCACGCGCTCAGCGAGATGTTTACATTCCCTAAGTTCTACACGAGCGGGTAAAGTGCCGAGACACTACCAAAACTGTTGGAGAATCACAACATTTCAACTCCTATCCAAACCACTAGAAATCCTACCAATAGGACAACTGTAGTAATATGAAAAAGAAAAGCCTTGCATGCCATCTGCTTTCTGTTGCCTTCAAGAAATCCTCATTTTTTGAAATAAGAGCTGTTGATGTCATACCTGAGGTGAGCTCCATTTTCCTTCATCAAAGACATCTCCCAGAATAAAAACAATATCCGGCTGCAGTAACCATAAGGCAGTTTGGAAAGACCTCTCCATTTGCCATTCCCTGAAAGGAAAATACACCCCCAGTCATCACTGCCTAACGTCTGGGTCCCTCAGCTCTGAATACACCGACACAGCCTGGCAGGAACGGGAAGATGGCCCCTACACACTGAAAGTGCTAATATGAAACTGAAAAAGACTTAGAAATTGGGTGTAGGTACATCTTACCTGGTGGATAGTTCCACAGTACAGTCATGACCAACTCATGCAAGAAGTAATACCAGTGTGTTTCTTTTCATTCATTACAATTCCATCACACAGCAATTAAGAACAGTGAATTATTGCACGTTTTACTACGCTATTGCTTCTGCAGCAAAAGTTTATAATGTTCCCATCTTGGTAGAATCGGTGCTTACTTTTAGCATTCTGCTTTTCTTTTGGACTAACAGAGACAACATGGCTTTGTAGGGATAGGGTTGGATTATCTCGTCTTTAAAGGCGATTTTGCCACCAATTCTTCTGCTGCAGAGACAAGCTTCTACCAGCATCCTTACCTCTGCAGTTAAAGGTATTAACCACTGGGACATCCAGGTTACCTGGCTCGTTTGTAAGGCATTCCGTAGAATAGTTACACACTGGAAAAGACTATCTGAGCCATGGGAAATGCTCAGGCACCTGTGCCCACATATCACCTGATCATTCCAGACTGCACTGCCTCAGGAAGTCCCGTTCTTTAACCTTTCAACACTGGTTTATTATCCAGCGCAGATTCAGACAGGCAAGTCAGAGGCAGCATGCACGCTTCTTACAAGTACCACAACATCAGTCCCATCAGCTACTACTAAAAACTCAAAAAAACAGGATAGGGAGTATTCAAAAAATTACCTTCTTAGCTTATCCAGCCAATGTCCTTTGATTTCACCCAGTAGGTGGGTATCAGCTAAAATTAAGGCCTTTAGGACTAAAGCCGAAGTCTCTTTTTCACTCAGGTGAGCTCCACCTTTCACTTCTGGCCACCGACATTGAAAAATTACTACATAATAAATTAAAAATTCGCAAAATATTAACACTGAGCTGCCAAAGCACACAAGAAGAGCCGCCTCTTCAAAGGAAGACTCTTTACAGCGGTCCAGCTAGAAGCCAGCATTGCGGTACCAGCGTCTCTCTCCCAACGGCTCAGTACTCTCCCGGGTGAAAGCGGTAGGGGCTAGTCAAAGGACCACGCTGGGTTTCATATCAGTATAAAGTCCCTGCAGAGAAAACACAAACCAGGATATTCATTAAGCCGGCATTCCCTGTGAACAGCTACCACCTAAGGCCTACAGTGTTCGTTTCTTGCCACCTGGAAAGATTTGGGAGTATGCAATCGACCTAAAAAGCAAGGACAGTCTTTTCCTTCAGATGCGCTCGCATAACCCAGGCAGGTGGGCATGCTGCTGAGCCTGGAGGGGTGCTCTCTCCTGCCAGGGCCAAGGCAACCAGTTTGAAGCCAGCTGGGATCTTGCTGCACAATGCCATTCTTTATTTTAACATTCTTTTTTTTTTTTAACTTTAAAAAACACTGAGTAGGGGTCAAACACATATAAAGACGAAGCTCAGCTTGAACAGCAACCAAAACAAAACTAAGAGGAATAGAAGGGAATTCTACTGGGATCCGTATCATCCCGACCACTCCAATGCCACGTGCAACCGCTTTCAGGCACAAGTCACGTAACATGACTACGCCACATCAGTGCAATTACCACCTTTAACACAGCTCACTGTAATCATCTCCAAGGAGCAAAAGCAGTTTTCTATCCCAAAACAAGTTCACCGCAGCTTTCCAGGGACACAGGCACAGATACACAATGAGTTATTTAACGCTGCTTCATTTCTAACAAGGGGAAACCCAGAAACATCCAAGCCCGGGAAACAGAAACTGTGCTACAGCTGAAGAGAAATGGGGAAAATGAGCCTAATCTGGTAAACCTACTGTATTTACCGATTCCTTCCGCCTTGGATAGTTTGGAACCCAAACAGGGAACTTACCCCTTTTGAAACTACAGTTTTATTTTATGCCATTTTAAAGACTAACCCAAAACAAATGTCTTCACTCTAAGCCACAGTCGCAACGGGGCTCGTTGATTGTTTCACTTGTTTACAGGCAGTTAACAGAAACTCACTGTTCCTGGCGTAAGGAGGAAATACCCACGGCTTTCACGGTTCCGTTACTTCTGCAGTCCTTGGCAGGAACACTTTGCGAGTGTAAGTTCCCACAAGAAGCAAGGATCTGTGCCGGTTTTAGTTGGGATAGAGTTCATGTTGCCCACGCCTGAGAGAACAGGGATACTCGCCTTACTTTCAAGTAAAATCCCCCCAGGGTTTCAGGCTGAAGAGTACTGCACGTATGAAGGACCCACTCTTTAAAGGTGAACAGCATAGTACGGTCACAGCAAAAGGACTCCAGGAGAGTCACAAACAAACTTCTAGAGAAATCCATAAAGAAAAGTCTTGTCCCTGCCCAAAAGTAGGATGGGAAATTTGCTTCCTACAATAGAAAAAGTCTAATGTGGGATTAATATCCAGGATGTTAGCAATTAGAGAACTCAGTACTCTTGACAGTGATTAGCAGCCCATGTTCATTTGCACTGACTAAATCTGATCAGAACTGTGAATGCTAGTACTTTTGTATACTTAGACCCTAAATATTGTGGATGCCCCATCCCTGGCTGTCTTCAAGGCCAGGCTGGATGAGGCTTTGAGCAACCTGGTCTAGTGGAAGGTGTCCCTGCCCATGGCAGGGGGGTTGGAACTGGATGGTCTTTAAGGTCCCTTCCAACCCTAACCATTCTATGATTCTACAATTAGGAACATTGGAACAAAATCACAAAACTAGTGGATCTTTTCTGAAATCCTGGTCTCAGTTATTTGCAGAACACAGAACAAAATTTAAATGGCTTTACTGCCCTATGCCGTAGCCCGTTTGATTGATGCCTCATAGAAATCAAAAAATGACATGCGATTATCATCTCCTTCCAATCAAAACCTCTGTTTGATAATGAGTGGCTATTAAGCCACTTATTTTTAAACACAAGCTTTCTGTATTGCCACTAGAAAGTAGTTATTCAAGGCAAGGAACCATTACTCTGCATCATGTAACATTTCTAAGAGACGCTGTTTAATGATTGCCTGACTAACACTTAATTGCATGCAATCCGGTTCTAGCTAAACTAAACTAAACTAAAGTTTAGCAGGAGACACACAGTGGCCAGATGTCACGATTTCACAATACAGAGGAACTACACATAAAGGCTGATTAACTTGTTTAATATTAAACTCATCTGCACCTTAACTAGCAATAAAAACTGAGAAGATCTTGTTTGTACATCTCACAAGAAGGCAAGACTAAAGCAGAAACATCCGTTCAATGGATACAGCAACAAGAAGAAAAGACAGGTGCATTCTTAACTGTAAGCACACAAACTCATATAGCCTTATCCTGCACAAACTGTACCTACCCAGAATCTGGAATTAGACTTGGTAGTCCTAGACAGTCTCCTCTTCCAACAAAAACAGTACTGATTTGAACAGAAAATGTCAGTTCAGCTGTTGAACTTGCATTAGGCATGTAAACAAAACCAAAACACTAAAACCTCTGTGACTCTTCCAATCACAACCTGCACAAAGCTTAAAACATAAAACCTGTCGTTTTGCTATCAGTGTCTATGAATTCTCCAGAAGCTTTTAATCAAAAATTCTTTCCCACACATGAAATTTCTTCAGGTGCTGTCCAAACAGCTCCAGAGCTGCAGCAAAAACCCAGTGTTACACATCAGGGGGGAGTGGGAATCAGATCCTCAAAAGTAGAATGATCCCATAAAATGCAAAAAATACATAAAAGTAAGAAAAGCTGTAATTACTAGCAAAGAAAAGTATCGTCAAGGCAAAACTGCCATTTTCCAGTCAAAGGCAGCAACTGACA